TATTTATAAAAGATATAATTTTTTTACCATATGGTACACACCATAAAATAAACTATCAAATATTTATTATAATCTTATATAATAAATAATAACAACTCCCAATGTGGTTACTACCAATCACATAATTAAAAAAGACATAATAGTTAAACATGAGTAATTAAACAAATTCAAATTAAATTAAATCTAAATCATGAGTCTTGAATTAAATTCCCACCCATAAGCCAAACATCGCCCAATTACATATTAAAGTAGACCCAACAAATCTATCCAAATCATGATCTAAACATTAAAAATTAAATAACAAAATTCTGCTATAAATTAAATTGAACACCAATCAGTCCGTGAATTTTCATAAAATAAATACTCATCATTAAATTCTGAAAGTTTTATCCAACGTGCTAGACTCATATGGGAACAACATATAAAAATTTCATAATTATCTGAGATCGGGAACTATTTTTAAAAAGTACAAAACCAAACTGTTTTCGCACAGAATTTACACAGCACTCAAATTCGAAAATTTGCTCAATTAAATTATGCACTAGCTATTTAAAAAAAAATCTGGGTCACGATAGATGTGTTTTTAAAAGGAGTATTTCTCTTTCCTCTCATGAAATTGATTCTTATTTATGAGATGTAGGGCTCTTGGAAGTCCATTGGCAAGAACACTTTTTAAAAAATGTAAGAAATTCATTTTGGGTGGAAACCCTAGCTTTTGAAAGTTGGAAGTTGAAATTATTGAAGAAAAATTCATCATGAGATTATGTTGAGAAGAATGAAGAAAAATCACATGTTATATTGTTAAATCATCTATGACAGGGATGAGATTTTGTTGAGAAATTACCATGGATAGTATAGTGGAAATACTTGGATCATGAAAAAATTGGAAATTTCGTAACATTGTGAATGTGGATTTTTTTCATATGTCACATGGATATAGTTATTGATTATTAACTTGAGAGATGTTGATAATTGAATTATATTGAGAAACATGGGAATTATATAATTACATCTACATACATTCATGTGCATAGCTTTGAACATTGATTATTATAGCTATATTTTGGAAATTTATTTATTGTTTTGAGAAAACAATTGATGATCTTGAAAAAGTTTTGGGGTAAATACATTGGTAAGTCTGGATAGGGAGTGTAGATAGGTATTATTTAAGTTGGCCTGAGTGTCTAGGATGAAATACCGAAAACACGTGCGGATTAGATACCACGTGTCTACCAGTTAGGAACCGGTAAAGTAGGGATTGGTAGGGCTTGATATGCCTACTTATAGACATCAGCCTAGAGATTATCTAGGTCATATTTACCACCCCATTGTGTATTATGAAATCACTGAGATGACATATTTTTTGAAAAACAAAAGAAAAAGGGCATTGTCTATGATTTTCAAAAGGAAATAACAATATGGTGCTTCCGCCTAACTAAAGGCGAGGAATATGTTTTGAGAGCACGAGACCCTTTCATATATATATATATATATATATTCATGTTTTGACAAGCCAAGGGCTATAATTATATAGATTTTTGGATAACTATCTTTTGTGTAACTAGGCTTAAGCCTTAGAACTTGTAACTATTAGGGCATTTATTTTGTGCCATTTTTGTTGTTTTCATCGTCGCAGATGCTATAGATTCACTCTTTAGAAGTTTGAATATGTGTTGCATGTGGACTCCCTTTTGTAAATCTCTTACATGAATGGAATACAAATATAGAGATTTGACGACTTAATTTGAGATTTGTATAATTGAATAGATTAATCAGACTTATCTTTATGTCATTTATTTGGGGGTGTTACACCCATATGGTAAAGCAACATAGTAACAATCGACCGAAAAAAGATAAAAATAAAAACCATTGCAATGCATAAACACACGCACACCCAAAAAAAAAAACAGGGCTAGCAATGCACCGTTATGTATATCTATATTAACAAACAAATTGACAACATAACATGATAGAAATTTGTGTAACTTTTATTGTCCTTGAGAAAGATATTGGAAACCAAGCTCAATTATGATAAATGTAGAAAATGCATTTGTTGGAGGTATATGAATGTTAGTTTTGTGTGTGTGTGATAATGTGTTTATTAGAGGTATATGATTGCTAGAGTTCTTTTTGTATGGGGGATGCAACTATGAGGTATGCATATTTATAAATATTATTGAATTTTGATGTTTCTATTTCATTAATTTATCTTTTGTTATTTATTTTTATCTACTTTTTGTTTTTCTTTTATATAGTTGTATTTTTGAAAGGAGAAAATGAAAGTTCTAAAATCTTATGATTTGTTTCTCCTCTTTTTTTTTTCCCCCCTAAAGAACTTACCATATTGATTATTAGACTATTTAGTAAAATTGAAAGAAAATAATAATAAATTAGAAAGAACCAACAAAATAATTACAAATGTATTTTTTGTATTTAAAAAATAAAAAATCATAGAAAATAGATTAGAGTTTTGAGACTTAAAAGAAAAAACGTTTTTACTTATATTATCCTAACGTTAAGCCCGTGCAATGCACGGCTTATGCATATATATTTTCGACGTGTTAATTTTATTTTAATAAAACATAGTGAAAAAATCATTGTGTAGCATATAATAAACACAAAAGATTAAAAATTATGTGAAACAATTACAGTGTTTTGATAAACTGTAAATCATTTAATCAAACTAAATTATTTCAAAATTATATACAAATCAATCCAAATAATAATGCAATTAAATGTGTACTAATTTTCCATCAATTTAAACCCAAGAGCAAAAAATAAAAATCGTTTGATGATGAAATATCATTGCATTCATTTCATTCACTCAAAGTTTTGTAGTAGTTGCCAAATATAAAAGGGAATATTACTTCTTCTTTTTTTTTTATCGGCAAAGGAAATCTTTATTGATGAAAACATACAAGATATGATAAATTACATCAATAAAGAGGAGCTTGGAGCTATCACAAAGCTCCAAGCACCATTTGGTGAGGAACCAACAAGCCAAAGAGCATCACCATTTGGTGAGGAACCAACAAGCCAAAGAGCAAAAGATGCTGCCACAACATCAGACTTAGATGAAAAAATACACACAAAAACCAAAGAGTAGCAGCAGACTTACAAATAATCAAACTTGAAGACAACAACACAAACAGCAAAGCAGCACAGAACAACACTGCAATCAAATAGCAGAACAGCATAGAATTTCATCACAAAACTTCACCCAAAAGCTCAAATAGCAGAACAACACAGCAATCCAAACAGCAATTCACCACAAAGGCAACTCCTTACAGCATAACAACACAGCAATCCAAACAGCACTACATATCTACAATAGAACCTCCCAAGCACTTCCTAATTTGCCTCAAATTAAGAATGAAATCCTGCACTAAAAAATAGAAGTCTCTGAAGAATGGTTTTAACCAAAAAGCAATCCTATTCTTAATTAAATCACAAAGATCCGTCAAGTTTGGAAGAGTTGCTCTAAACACACATTCATTTCTACACTTTCAAATTAACCACATCACAGCCAATGGAATGACCCTCCAAATCTTCCTTTCTTTCTTCTTTAGCTTCCCCCATGCCCACCACAGAAGAAGACTCTCCACAAAGCCTGGTATAACAGCTTGGACATCCCACCACTTTAGCATTTCGGCCCAAATCTTCCACACAAAGGGATACCAAATTAACACATGGTTCACTGATTCTCTGCCACTGTTGAAAAACACAAAAGCTGTGAAGGCATTTTGATTAATCACTCCCAGTTTTTGTAAAAACTCCTTTGTCGTAACTCTCCTTTTCCAAGCAAACCAACCAAAAACCTACACCTTAGGAGGGATGTAATTGAGCCAAATTAGTTTGGTAATACTCATGGTTGCACCTATATTGTCCACAACAAACTTATATAAAGCTCACTACACGAAATCGCACTTTTGCCGACTAAAAATTTGGTTGGCAAAAGTTATTTGCGACCAATTTTTTTGGTCACCACTTTGGTCGCCAATTGAGGGTTGACAAAAATAATTAGCGATCAAAACTTTAGTTAGTCGGGAAAAAGTTTGATTTGCTGACTAAATTTTTTGTCACTAAATATATCATTACCGTGACTAATCTATTTAGTCGCTAAAACACTTTAGTCGCGAAAAGTGACATTCCCGACCAAACATGTTAGTCGCCAATTGTGACATTCCACGACAAAAAAATTTGTCGCCAATTGTGACATTCTACGACCTCTTAGTTTGGTCGCCAATTGTCACATTCCAAGACAGTTTGATCACCAAAAGAAATGTTTGCGCCAAAATGCAACAAAATAAACCTGTAATTCATAATAATTTATCAAATCCATTTAATACAACATGTAATTTGCAATAATCAATCAAACTAACAATTCACCTGAATCATGAAGATTCAACAAAATATATAAATCATCAAATTCTGAACCTGTGTAATTAAAGTGAGCAACTATTACTCCCTCCGTCCCAAAATATTAGTCCCTTATTCCATTTTTTATTGTCTCAAAATATTAGCCCCTTCTCAAAAATCAAGTACAAAAAATAATATGAATCTCTCATTTTGCTCTTCTTTTACATTCATTAACAACATAAAAAGTACAATTATGACATTTATATTCCCCAAAAAATGTACTATCAAAGGATAATTTTGGAAAATCCATTTTTTTTAAAGTGCAATAATTGTACTACCAAAAAAAGTAAGATTCTCCAAAAGGTACCATTATTTTGGGACAGAAGGAGTATGAGTTTTCATCCACAAGTAATTCCAAACTACATATTCCTTCAATTCAAAATCCGCTTGTAACCTATATAATCATCCAATTCACATCCATCTAGCATTAAAATTTAAAACATAATAAGTACTTGTAATTATGTTATAAATTTTTATCCATGCGCATCAATCAAAAAATAAAACTAGTCTACCAAATATTTTCTATGCACACCCATCCAAAAATGAAAAATGCTTGGGAGCACTACTGATGTGATGTTTTGGTCTTGGAGTTGTGTTTTTTTTTTTTTTTTTTTTTTTTTTTAATGCATTAGTGCTATTAGTAGTGATGTTTTTAGTGGGATGAATCATTGTTGTCCAAAAATATAACAACTAGTCTATCCAAAAATATAACTACTAGTCTACCGAAATGTTTTTCATACACATCTATCTAAAAATATATAATCCTTCCAAAAATGCTTATAGTGCCAATTAGTCGTGTACAATTTAGCTTCGTGCACGAGTTCATCCATCTGTACCAAAGAAAAAGAGAAATTATGTTAGGTAATGGACAAAAAGATTATTAAAAGAATGAAAAAGTGCCATGATAATAATGCTGCACAAATTGTTGAGTTGATAACATTATCAAACATACACAATACACAGAAACATGTATACATAAAAGTGCATAATAGCAATTTCACATTTGTTAGCATATATAACACCAATCTATCCTAAAGAACATATCAAAGCACTGGAAGGTACATTTACATCCGCAACAAATAGCAGATTTCAGTACAGCTAAGTTATATTCTCACCACAATGCTTCCTCATCCATAACTTAGCATCAAAGCTATTCAGTTGTTTGCAAACCAATATGTACACATCCAAGATCGTACAACAGATCTTGTAATTTTATTAAAATGCATGCGTAAATTGGTAAGTGTAAATAATCTGCACAAAAAGAATTTAGTAAATACAAGACCCGGCTCAAGGGATTGCTGGAGTGGGGTGAGGAGGGCTGGGGGCTAGCAGCGAAGTTGGACAGGGGCTTGGGGGGTTGGGAAGGGATAAGGTAGTGGGGTAGTTGGAGAAGGTGAAGAAGGGGTTATATGGTTGTCGGAGCTGCAACTGGTCCCAACCGAAAGGGGTAGTAGATGGTGGTAGGGTCTAAGATTTTTTTGGTAATTACATTTAGGAGTATAATAATGGCATTTAAAAAATAATGATACAGTGTGGCTTAACATGAGAGAGGACAGGTCATTAGAGATCAATTGTACCAGAGATTGCACCAATTGAGATTGTTATAATAAATCACAAAATCTCTAGGCAACAATAAAGCACAAGGTCTGAACAGTATCAATTTTCCAAGGATTCTTATCCTGATATTTTATTGTTGACACTAACTGCTTAACCAAGATCCATATTGCACCAATTGAGATCATGCAAGTCAAAAAATTCAGGCTTGTAGTGTTTCTTCCCCACCCACGCCCCTATTTTGTATTTATTCCACTTCTTACTCTTCTTTCTTCCTTGTTAAACCATAGTTATCAGCCATTATTCTCACAAATCCTGAACACATCTAGAGTAATACTTATTTTCCTGGCCATTACATTTCTAACTAGTACAATCATGAAGTAAAACTATTGACAACTTGCTATCATTCATTCATAGACTTTTTTTTGAACTTGGGGGAACATGGAAGTGCATGTTGTGAGATTGACAATCATGAAGTAAAACTGATGTAGCAAAATTGAACAAGAAGTTAATGTGCTTCCAAACACTAAACGCACCAAATTCATAGTAGAGATAGTTGGAATTTTAAATATAACAATATACATACCCAAGTCAAGCTAAAGAAGAAATTTGTTCACTTGAACTGCACTCTGTTACAGAAATAACCAAAAAAAAAAAAAAAATAGAGCCAGAGGCAAATGTTAATCACAAAAATAAAAATGGGGGAAAACTTACAAATAAACATTAAGAATGGAGGCAAGAATGACTGATGAGGCGGTGTTGAACAGCCTTTGTATTTGAAAGTTAACTGAATCGGAGAAATTGAACATTAAAAATAAAAGCAAGAAGCTGAAATTAGACCCAGAGTAATGACTCTCTGATCATTGGAGCATAATTGAAATTTGAAAACTAAACATGTTAACAGTCAGTCCAATTTTGTTGAAGACTTGAAATGTCTCAAGTTAGTTAAGCCCTATTGCTTTAGAATTGTGATTTTTCACGAGAGTTCTCTGTGTCTCCAGCTTCTAAGATAAATGAGGCTATTCAATACAGTTGTTCAAAAGGAATTAGTTTTTAGAATAGGGGTGTTTCATTTAATTTCCTCTTAGGGCTCCTTTGGTTGTGGGTCATTTAATTCTTGTTTTTACTTTGGATTAGTTATGTTGTTATAGACTTCAGAAAGTCATGTTTCCTACAAATTTTTAGTAGGGCAGTTGTTACAGTTGTTATAGTTCAGAAAGTCATCTTTCATTTTGTTCCAAGCTAGAGAATGAAGGCGTAAAAAAAAATAAATTCCACCACTTCAAGAAAAATCAAATATGAAAATTAGTGGCTTCACCAATTGATTGCTCCCTATGGTGCATTATTCAAAATAGAATCAGCAAGATTCACACCAACATCATCTAACTTAAAGATCAATCCAACTCATTCATGTAGAGTTGAAAGATCTGGTTGTGTTACAAGGCAATTATCCCCCAAGACTTTCTAAATATCACCTTTAAATTCATTGAAGAAATTAATTCATCAAATTAAAGTTCACAAATTTGGGATTAACAAAACAAACACATCCTGTCATAATGTACATTGCTGAGAAGTAAAGAAATTAATATTTTCATATAAAAATGCAGAGAGAAATTGGTTACTTTTCCCTTTCTTTTTTCCTTTCCCTCCACAAATTCCAACCCAAATTCAAAAAAATCCAAACATAGCCTTAATGTATTAGATTTCTTAGCAAAATCTTCAATTTTCAATCGAAGATCTATAGATACACAGATATACTTATATATATATATATATAGATAGAGAGAGAGAGAGAGAGAGAGAGAGCATACGTCAGACGGAGCATCAGTGGAGCAGTTCTCAGCGAATGAAGCCTCTGGATCTCGCGGCGGCGGCGGCGGCGGTGGCAGTGGCGGTGGCGGTGGATCTATGAAGATCGGTGGAGAAGGAGGAGGCAGCAGCGTGAAATGTTTTAGACGGAGATGGGGTGTGGATCTGCAATCTATGTGGCTCACTCACAAAATTGTGTGGATCGACTCAGATCTCAGCCTACGGTTGTCAGATCTACGGCGGAACGTGGCCGACCCCGCCGTATCTCGCAGCATCGGCTAGGGTTTCACGATCAGAACTCTGTGTGTGTGTGTGTGAGAGAGAGAGAGAGAGAGAGAGAGAGAAGATGAAACAGAAGATGTAGAGAGATACGGTGGTTCTGGTGGCAAAGTAGGTGAGGAGGAGGTGTGTCGCCGGAGGGGAGGGGAGGGGAGGGGAGGCAGTGGTTCTGTTCTGCGTAGTGTAGAGAGGGAGGGGAATGGGTTTAAAGAGAGATGAGGTCTGGTTGTGAATTTGTGTGAGAGAACAATCTGTTTTGTTTAAACAGATAATAGGCAGGCCTCATTTCTCTCTAAATTTTCACACCTTTGGCAACTAAAATTTTGTTTCGTCGTTAAAAATTAATTTTTGACAACCAAAAAGTTAGTCAGCAAAGATAAAATATAATTTTTTATTTTTCATTCAGTGACTAAATGATTTTAGTAGTCAAAACTACCTGTACAGCAACTAAAACATATTTTAGTCACCAAAGATAAAATGTAAATTTTTATTTTTCATTCGGCGACTAAATAATTTTAGCAATCAAAAATAACTATACAGCGGCTAAAAGATATTTTAGTCGCTAAAAATAACTTTTTGGCGACCAAAAGGATAAAAAGAAAATTTTTGTTTTTCATTCGGCAACTAAATAATTTAGTAGCCATAACTAACTATACAACGACTAAAATATTTTTTAGTCACTGAAAATAAATTTTTGGCGACTAAACTTTTGGTTGCCAAAGATAAAAAATAATTTTTTTCCTCTCGCCTATATTTTTAGCGATTAATATTTTAAATTGGTCGCAAAAAATCAATTTTTTGCAACAAAATTACTTTAGTCGGCAATAGTATTAACTTTTAGCTACAAAATTTTTTTTTGGTCAGCAAATGTCATTTTTTTGCGGCCAAAATTTTTTTAGCCGGCAAAAGTGGTCAGCAGATGTGTAATTTCTTGTAGTGGCTACTACATTTAAAACCACAGAAGGTGAGGCTGACCATACAGGTCGGTTAGGACACTCTGGACACATTATAGGAGCCACGAACAGAGATTAAGAAGCCTATCTAGCTCCTGCTCCTCCCATTCATATAACTCCCTTTTAAATGCCAGGGACCAATCACCAACTATAATTTTCTTATCAACCAGTACTCTCAAAGGTTCCTTTTTTTCCATAGACAACCTATACAGAGTTAGGAATTCATCCTTCAAACAAGCAAACTGACACCATGTATCAAACCAAAACCCGATCCCCCTCCCATCCCTAACCTTCAAATGAAAATTATTCAAATAAAAATCCTTTAGACTATTGCACTGTTCAGCAACAGAAATGATCCCTTTCCAGACTGCCGAGTGGCTATTAGATGGAATCCAGCCACCCACCTCCATCTTATATCTGCTGCAAATTACTCTTTTCCACAAAGCATCCTTTTCACTACCAAACCTCCACCACCATTTTATTAGCAAATACTTGTTCACATCCCTTATTTTTCCAGTGCCCAATCCTCCTTGATCCACTCTTTTAGACAAGTCCACCCATTTGATCATATGAATTTTCCTTTCTAGTTCAGAACCACCCATAAGAATGTAGCTTGAAGCTTCTCTAACTCTCTAGCAACCCCTTCAGGCATCTTGAACAATGAAAAATAAAACACTAGCAATGCTAACGTTACTGCTTTAACAAGTGTTAGCCTCCCTGCAAAAGACACCATCTTCCTCTTCCAACCAGCTAGTTTGCTTTTGACTTTATCCACAACTAGTTTCCAAGTAGCTTTCTTCTTTGGGTTAGCTCCTAATGGCAGCCCTAGATAACTTGGAGGTAATGATTTGATTTTACAATTCAGTGCTGCAACAAAACCGTTCATCATCTCCTTAGAAACACCCACACCACATACAACACTCTTATGAAAGTTTATTTTCAGGCCAAACATGATTTCAAAGCACCTTAGCACCCTTTTCAACTTCCTCACCTCATCCACCTCAGCTTCACAGAATAATAATAAGTCATCTACAAATTGTAGATGAGTTAACAACACACCATCATAGTCTACCTTTACACCTTTAATCAGGCCTAACTCAAAAGCTTTGTTCAATAACATATGTAGACCTTCTGCTGCTAGATTAAACAGAAAATGAGACAAAGGGTCACCTTGTCTTAGACCCCTTTGTGAGCTAAACTTTTCAATAAGAGATCCATTGACGAGCACTGAGACCCTTGCAGTTGTTACACACTCCTTAATCCAATTGGTCTACTTAGCTCCAAACCCAAACTTAGAAATCATAGAGAACAGAAAACCCCAATTAATGGAATCATATGCCTTTCAAAATCCAACTAAATAAGCACTCCCTTCTTTTTGGCTTTCTTCCATCCATCAACATCCTCATTAGGAATTAGCAACCCATCTAGAATATTTCTTCCACTTAAGAACACAGACTGAGACTCACTTATGATATATGGCATCATAGTTTTCAGTCTATTTGCCAACAGTTTTGCTATGATCTTGTAGATTGAGCCCACCAAGCTTATAGGTCTATAGTCAGATAGCCCTGTTGGACTATCCCTCTTGGGAATGAGGGTAATGAAAGCATTGTGTTATACCCTTCAATGGAAAGTTGGGAAATTATTAGATATGTATGAAGAAGTTTATAATTTTAATTATTAATATTGATAAAATTTATCATCAATTTGTAATTATTTTTCAATATTTACACTGAAATGCAATTCCTCCAATATAAAAGTCTACTAGATTATTCACCCCCCAAAAAAAAAGTCTACCAGACAAAAGGGGCATTTAAAAAAAAATTAATTATGAGTAAGAAATTAATAAAATAGCGGCAAATAAAATCAATAGTCCATACATTTTGTTTCTTGTGTCATTTTGGCCTCTACGCTTTCAATTTAATCAATTTTGACTCTTAATTTTAGATTTTGTGTTAATGTGGTTCAATTCACAAAGCCAATAGGGTTTTGTTACAAAAAAACATTATCATTCAGTTGGTTGAAATTAACTCGCTAAATTGATTAACTTTACAATTTTATCCCTAAAAGCATAACACATATAAAACTAGTAGTTGGGTGCATGCGTTGCACGTGATACGTGATTTTTTATCAACTGTTAATACTATAATTATGTGTGTCTCTTAAATTGATATGTGATATGTATACAAAGTATGGAGACTTGTATGGGTAAATTGATCTATATCTAAAATACAACCAAGTAAGAAATGAATATATACTCAACCGGAGAATTGAAATGATAAATGAGAAATTTTATAAAATATTAATTTATAGTTAGAATGTTAAGATCACAATCTTATCTTAAATAATAAACAATAAGCACGTCATTTAAATATATACTATTACACAAATCTTTTTCAATCAACTTCCCACTTCAATTTTTCATAATCCGTACTTGTAATACAATTGAAGGTATGACATTAATTGCACAATTATACAATTTTGTTTAATAGTTTATCTCATAATGCAAATTTGTTGAACTCGCTATTGCATATTATTTGCATACTATTGGTGTAAGAATGCATTAATATCAATTTGTAATATATTATTATACATCAAGAGTTGTTAAGTCTCGTTTACTGTGTCACAAATATTTTACATGATCAAAAATATAATATTAGTTATTAATATATTTTCATTTATGTAGAAAATGTGGAATAGTTTTTTTAAGAAAATGGAATGATATTGTAGCTTAATATTTCAATCAATATAGAAATTTCATAATTATTTTCACGATGTTTATAGATCCATACTTACAAGTGTTTGCAAGATCACTTTTATGAAACTATCAAGTTACATAATTTATTATGGCATTTGTAAGTAATCAGCATATAGTAAAAATTAATCAAAACTCTTTATTTGATGTACTTATTTTCTGTATCATTAAGTTGTTGCGATAATATTTGGGCATCATTTGATTTTTTTCCTTGTAATTTGACTAAAATGTGTGTATGAGGTACATTATTTTTCTTGAACTTCACAACAGATAGAACAATTCTTGCTTCAGCTTGTCTAACTTTGCTTAGAGAGCATGTTTCAATAAATCTTCTATAGTTTTTATAGCGATCCCGGTTTTTCCTTCGTTATTAGTTGTATTCTGGACTCGGTTCCGTGGATGTGTGTTGTTGTCTTATTCTTGTTTCCATCATTTACTCTTTGTATTTGAGTATTGGGTTGTGTTGGATAGGTTTGAAACAGGTTGGTTGTGTTTAGAAACAAAGAGTTGATGCCCAGATTTTGGCCTTTACGCTTGAACGGGCTTTTTGATGCTCGAGCGGGCCTTTTGCTTTTACTCCTCCGCTCGAGCGGGCATTCCGACGCTCGAGCGGGATTATTCAGTCTCCAGTATTTTTTCCCTGCAGGTCATCGGATGCTTGAGTGTCCACTTTCACACTTGAGCGAGGACCTTCGTCTGCAAAACTTCTGGAAGTATGCATTCGACGCTCGAGCGGCGCTTTTTACGCTCGAGCGTGAGTCTGTGCCTGACGCTCGAGCGGGGCGTTCCACGCTCAAGCGGACTGTGTATTATATCAATCCGAATTTTAGCATTTTGAATCACTTTTTCGGGCCATTCTCTCTCTCTAGCTTTTCAAAACCCTAGTTTGAGAGCTCCTCTCTCTAGAACTCTCTCTCTCTCTCTACATTTTGATCTTGGTTTGGTAAGACCCAACCCTTGTGTCTTCATTAAAGTTGTAGAGC